CGCCATTAGTTTTGTGTTCTTTCTTTAGTGAAAATATTTGTGACATTGTTTATTACGTTCTTGTCACAACTATAAACAATTTCCGTTCGCAAAATTAAAACTGTTTTTCTACATTTGAATATGCCTCATTTTTATTTTTTCTTCTTTAAATACATTTTTTTGTACATTTAAAACATCTACCATATTATTTTCAACAAAAGTCTTTATCAAGGTCTCCGTATATCGCTGAAGATACCGATATCATAGCCTGTGAAAATATTTTGCGGACAGAGAGAAAGAGAGAGAGAAAGTTGTGCACATGGGTTTTTATATATTAATTAAGATTATAAATCTTCAATTAATTCATGTACTAATAATATAAAAATAGTCTTACTTTCCTTGTTTTATGAATAAGATTTGTCAAACTAATTAATAATATGCTATTAAATTAACATCCGCTGACTAGCGTGTGATAAAATGTGAAAAGTAGTGAATGTACAGCTAGGAAGTTTGATTGTAAGAGAAAGAGGACTCACAGTGGTTTAAAAACAAAGGGAAAAAGAATATACAAAAGCGTGGGATGGTGTCTATAGAATAAAGATAATCCAGCCCCAGCTACAATATTCTACAGTATTCTTTTTACAAAACAACCATCAAGTAAAAAAATGAAAAAAAAAAGGTTTTTTTTTTTAACTATAACAAATTTTTATTATGGTCGGCTGTGGGCCACTAAATGGCGTCCCCCCCCCACCCCCCCCCCCCCCCCGCGTTGCGGGGTCTGGCGGCACTGTAGTTCCGCCCCTGGCAAAAACTATACGTATGGGCAATAAATAACAAATGCACCACAGCCATCAAGGAACCACCACTGGGCCAGTAGCCACAGGACCAATAACTGGAATATTGAGTTAAATTCCCTATTAGTAAAATGATTTCTTAGAGTTACGTTCTCCTGTCTCATCGAGTTCGTCTTAGCCAAAAAATAGATTGATCTATCGTCATTAGTAAGGTTTCGAAAGTTAACTGGACTTACACGATTGCGTGTCTTGTCTCATAGTTTCAGTTACAAACATCAAAGAAGAGCTGAAAACTTTTGAGTCACGTACAGACAACTTTGGAGTCACCAACAGACAACTTTGAGGTCACCAAAGACAACTTTGGAGTCAGCTACACACAACTTTAGAGTCAGCTACAGACAACTTTGGAGTCACCAACAGACAAGTTTGGAGTCAGCATGAGACTGAAGCTGTGGACATCACCTGGACTTCTGGTCTTGGTCCTCTTATTGCTGACGTCACGTGCGGCTGGGAGTCCCTACCAGGTGAGGTCAAAAGTGTTTTTATTTAATTTTTACTATTGTGTTTTCTTTCGAATGATAACTTTGTTTGACTAATTATCTTTAGTATTATAAATTTATATTTCTTTAAAATTATATGAAGCATTCATCATCACAAACATAATCACCATCATCCTCCCCATCGTCATCACAGTCATAATCACCACCATCATCACCATCATCACCATCACCATTATCATCACCATCGTCATCACCATCATAATCACCACCATCATCGCCATCACCACCATTATCACCATCACCACCATCATCATCACCATCACCACCATTATCACCATCACCAATCACCAATTACTCCTTATTCTTATAAGACGATCAGATTTGATACACTTTGGAGGCGAAGTTAGTCTTCATGTGCTTTGATATTTTTTTCCTCTGTTTTATCTTAATGAGTTTTTAAAAGAAATCTAATAGCGTTACCAGACATTACATTTTTTGTATTATAAGTTAATTTAAAAACTTCCCCTGAACCTATCGCACCTAAATTTATTTTCTGAAGTTGACAGTTTCATTTTGTTCATAAAATTAATGGGTCGTTTTTACTTTCTCGTATACAGAGTATAGATGAAGTATTGTATTCCTGCACAAAAATCACATGAAATTTTGACCGTTTCCACCGTTTTACTTGACACTACTTCATCATATATAGGGTATAGGGGACTTATTTAAATTCTAAATCCAGATTTATCAAAATTAAGTGTAATCGTGTCGGAAAAACTGGATTTGCAATTCTGTACGTACGTCTGTGTGTATGTATGTCTGTGAACACGATAACTTTAATACCTTTACAACTAGGTTGATGAAATTTCATATACGTATTATTAAAATTTGTAGTTCTGTTCTTTTCAGCAATTTCCGATATCCGGAAGTGGAACTTATTCTACTTTCGATTTTTCAAAGCCTATAAGTTGAGAACTCTTTAAGATATATGAAAAGAATTTCATATATAAATAAAAGATCTAATTTGCTGCCTTCTGTAAAATTTCTGATTTCTCAAAAAGGAAGCAATTTAATCGTGCAAGAAAAAAAACACGAGATTTTTACAGATCTCGACGTTTTACACCTCCCTGAGTCGGAAAAACATAGTTTTGCAATTTTGTTTGTATGTCTGTGTGTGTGTGTTGTGTGTGTGTGTATCTGTATGTCTGTGAACACGATATATTGAGTACAGTTGCAGCTAGGATGATGAAATGTCATATATATATATATATATATATATATATATATATATATATATATATATATATGTGTGTGTGTGTGTATTATATCAAATTTGTAGTTCTGTATCTACTTTTCAGTGATTTCCGATATCCGGAAGTGGAACTTATTCTACTTTCAATTTTTAAAAGCCTATAACGTGACTACTGTTTCATATAGATAAATGAAATTTCACAGAAAAGTAAAAAAAATCTAAAAGTCAGCATTCTGTCAAATTTTGATTAATTTCCTTTGACCGAAAGTAGTAATTTACTATATTTCCGATTTCTCAAAAACAAAAATATAAATAATATTCCGCACTATCATACACATTTTGCTTGGCGTTCACTTGGTGCGCAATTATTTTTTCTACAAGATTGTATTCTATTTTTTAAAGTTTAAGTAATTAAAAATGGATTAAAATTAATGTCTATATCCCGAGTTGCTATTCCCTATAGTGTTATATAAGAATATTCGAGAAAGTTTAGGGGAGATCACTCCCGGTTTATTTTTTTTTATTTTGCTTCTACTTTCAGACAAACGGGTTGAAGCAACACGAGAAAGGTAACTATTAAACTGCTATACTTTTGACGGCACTTTCAATGCTGCAAGCTGTCACTTTTTTTCACTAGATATTTACTATCCGCGAATGTTTGGAGTTGTGTATGTATTACAAAGCCAGGCCACGGCAATGTTTCCGTGTAACAACTATAAACATTGAATGACGGGATAGTTCAAATACACAAAGCGTCATGACAAAACAATTAAAAAAAAACAATTAGTGTCTCCTTTGTGTTTAGTCATTCTATGTCTCAATATTTTAATCTAGAACTGCCATCATCATTAAAGGGGTCGGCCAAAGGGGTTGCTAAAACGAAAAGTCTCGAGTTCGAAACATCGGAGAGATTAGGCTCGATAGCTGGGGACAGCAACTCTTTTAGTAACTCAAAAATCAAACAACATTAGGCTCGATAGCTGGGGACAGCAACTCTTTTAGTAACTCAAAAATCAAACAACATTAGGCTCGATAGCTGGGGACAGCAACCCTTTTAGCAACTCCAAAATCAAACAACATTAAGCTCGATAGCTGGCGACAGCAACCCTTTTAGCAACTCCAAAATCAAACAACATTAAGCTCGATAGCTGGGGACAGCAACCCTTATAGCAACTCCAAAATGAAACAACATTAGGCTCGATAGCTGGGGACAGCAACCCTTTTAGCAACTCCAAAATCAAACAACATTAAGCTCGATAGCTGGCGACAGCAACCCTTTTAGCAACTCCAAAATCAAACAACATTAAGCTCGATAGCTGGGGACAGCAACCCTTATAGCAACTCCAAAATGAAACAACATTAGGCTCGATAGCTGGGGACAGCAACCCTTTTAGCAACTCCAAAATCAAACAACATTAGGCTCGATAGCTGGGGACAGCAACTCATTTAGCAACTCCAAAATCAAACAACATTAGGCTCGATAGCTGGGGACAGCAACTCTTTTTGCAACTCAAAAATCAAACAACATTAGGCTCGATAGCTGGGGACAGCAACCCTTTTAGCAACTCCAAAATCAAACAACATTAGGCTCGATAGCTGGGGACAGCAACTCTTTTAGCAACTCAAAAATCAAACAGCTGCTGTCCTGTAGTTTGTTCTTGTTTAGACAAAGGCTATGGACGCAAATCCAAAAAGAAAAGCAGGCTGAAATTGGAGTCAATGGCCTAAATGGCGCATAACAAAATGACACGTATACTTAACTGTCTTGGAGGGAATCTCTTCCAACAAAAAGATTTTGAACGAAGAAGATCATCATAAAAAAGTGATATCTTAGTAAGTAATGTGACTTATGATACCCTACCTTTTGTTTAAATACATATACAACATTTCAGATGTGCGTTATAGTACCCAACCTTTTTTAAAATACATATACAACATTTGAGATCTGCGTTATTGTACCCAACCTTTTTTTAAATACATGTACAACATTTCAGATGTGCGTTATAGTACCCAAACTTTTTTTAAATACATGTACATTTCAGATGTGTGTTATAGTACCCAACCTTTTTTTTAAATACATGTACAACATTACAGATGTGAGTTATACTTGTGGTACCCGACCTTTATTCTCGGACAAAGACCTCAGTGGCACGGGCTCTCTAGAGAAATCTACAAAAATATTAGGAGGTCACGACGCTGAGCATGGATCGAATCCCTGGCAAGCCAACCTGTTGATAGATGACTTATGATACCCTACCTTTTGTTTAAATACATATACAACATTTCAGATGTGCGTTATAGTACCCAACCTTTTTTAAAATACATATACAACATTTCAGATCTGCGTTATTGTACCCAACCTTTTTTTAAATACATGTACAACATTTCAGATGTGCGTTATAGTACCCAAACTTTTTTTTAAATACATGTACATTTCAGATGTGTGTTATAGTACCCAACCTTTTTTTTAAATACATGTACAACATTACAGATGTGAGTTATACTTGTGGTACCCGACCTTTATTCTCGGACAAAGACCTCAGTGGCACGGGCTCTCTAGAGAAATCTACAAAAATATTAGGAGGTCACGACGCTGAGCATGGATCGAATCCCTGGCAAGCCAACCTGTTGATAGATGGAAAACATGCGTGTGGAGGGACTATTTTAAGTGAGCACTGGATACTGACCGCCGCCCACTGTTGTCTGTAAGTTTGATTGCGACATTGACTAGCCAGAACCAAATTTAAAGTTTTCAAGACGGCAACAGAACCGCAGATATTGACAACGATATTATTAATATATTATTTAGAGTTTAACAGTCACAAGAAAATTGTATATTGTGGCCTTTAATTATCTGTGTAGACTTTGCCTGCTCTACGAATTTGTGTGTAGGTCAAATAAAATCACTTCTGTTGTAAACAGTGGCATCGCTAGTGTGACCTACTGAGGTCTTTTTTGCTTTATTTATATTTAGTCCCCTGAGTTATGTGATTGACCTTGGGAGAATTGTTAGTTCACCGGTACGCATCGGTCAACTGAACTCCGTCACGTCATGTGAATGGATTGTTTACTCCCTAGCAGACCCTGGACCAATGATCTTGCGACCGTGAGGATCCTTAACAGATCTTCAACCAATAGTCGTAAGACATTTGAGTGATTTCCCCTAATACTGAGCTGTATTTAATCTGGTACATTTCATGTTTAGGGGCAGCCAGATTGACCTTTGGATACGAGAGAGATGTTGCCGTATGTTTGGGCGCCATTTTTCAGTAGAGTAGTTTTGTGGAATGTTTTATCACCTTTGTATAAGGTATTGTGTGACAAGTTGTAGTATTACTGATATTTTGTTCTGGTGTACAATTGCACCCTTTGTCACATCGGTGATAGGTTGACCTTTTATTTGGTTTTCTATTGTTGTAGAGGCAATATGTCTCTTATTGATATTTGTGGTATTTATAATGCCATTCAGTTGTGTCAAGTAATGTTCTTTAATGGTGTTTAATATACTAAGCCACAGCTGTGATATATTGTGATTTTCTTTAACTGTAAGTTGGAGTTTTGAGTTTATTGATTGTACTCTTTAAGTCTGTACATTTTGTACAAACCCAGTGTCATAGTCTTGTACACTTATTAAATGGGTATTGACAGTTTTAAGTCGTGTTGAGTCTCTTCGATTTGTCGTGTTTTACCCTTAGACAGCATTAACGAGCTCACGGCAAGTTGTTGGGATTCCATTAGTATGACTTCTGTCAGTGCCATCCCAAACGAACCTGGGGTGTCCGCTCCCTCCGCGGCTGTCGGAGAGCGGTCATTACACTAGGTCTGTGTGTGTGTGTGCGTGAATGGTTCACATAGGCCTATAACCTAAATAGATGCCACATACGCGTACATGTATGTTTATAAGCTTTAATCACTACAGACTTAATGGTAACGATGTTTATCTATAGTCTGCTAATACTACAGTTGTATGTAGCATTGCTTTTTACAAAGTTAGCACGTTTACATCTTGGTATCACCCCTACCCCTTTGTTATGACAGTAGATTTGTACTTAAAAGAATATTTAACTTTAATTAATTATTAATTGAATTGGCAAAAAGTCATATTCTTCAGTAAATTTCTCAATTTTGTTTTGCACTCCCTCCCCTCGCCCCGCCCTCGCTACGCCTCTGATTTTAAATAGAGAAAGTAAAGGGAAATCACTCCCGCTTTATGTTTGCTTCATTTTTTATTATTCCAGCAATAAGAGCAAATATGACGTAGTTGTTGGTGACCGTGATCAAACCATAGACGAAGAGGAAGACGAAAAGTTTCAAGTAGAACAGATCATAATACACAGAAATTATTTCAAGCACCAAAGTAACTTGAACATTATTTTTCTGCTAGTTAAACCTTCCGCAAGGGTTAGGGTTAGGCTTAGGCTTAGGGTTAGGCTTAGGGTTAGGGTTAGGGTTAGGGTTAGGGTTAGGGTTAGGGTTAGGGTTAGGGTTAGGGTTAGGCTTAGGGTTAGGGTTAGGGTTAGGGTTAGGGTTAGGGTTAGGGTTAGGGTTAGGGTTAGGGTTAGGGTTAGGGTTAGGGTTAGGGTTAGGCTTAGGGTTAGGGTTAGGGTTAGGGTTAGGGTTAGGGTTAGGGTTAGGGTTAGGGTTAGGGTTAGGGTTAGGGTTAGGGTTAGGGTTAGGGTTAGGGTTAGGGTTAGGGTTAGGGCAAGGGTTAGGGTTAGGGTTAGGGAACCCCAAGGTTCGAGTTTCTCACGAAGTTAACTAAGCTACAATGGATTGGTCAGTAGAGTAGATGGAGTAAAGTTTAACTATGGTCATGGCAGTTTAACATAAGGTGTTGTAACTAACCACGGTTAAAGTGATAACCTTTACATCGACTGGGTCTGATATGATTGTAATTAGCTCATGTTTACACTGTGTCCAATATGGTGGTAACTAGCTCATATTTACATCGACTGGGTCCAATATGATGGTAATTAGCTCATGTTTACAATTTCTTGGTCCAATATGGTGGTAATTAGCTCATGTTTACAATATCTGAGTCCATTATGATGGTAATTATGTCGAGTCTGCTTGTAGACTGAAATGAGTAATATCGTAAACTTACATTCGCGTACTAAAATGCGAACTCAAAGATCGCAGCAGTTAAAAAATATACTATTAAACACATTTTCCCTTCTCTGTTAGCCAAACGGAAGTTAGAATTGAAGAACGACATCGCCTTGATAAAACTCAAGTTGAAGAATGGCCGTGGGATCCAGTTCAACAACTACGTCCAGCCTGCCTGTCTGCCTGATGCTGACACTGTCTACAACACTGGCCAACAATATACAATATCTGGATGGGGACGAATAAATAAGGTCACAAGTAAGCTCCCCTTTTAGGGATATTGTTAGTTATGGTTAGAATTAGAGTTATAACGAGTATAAAGTTTATTGGACGACTTTAAAAAAAAATGGAAATCAAAATCGATATATTGTTTCCCCTTGCACACAACACTCTACTTCAATGTGTTCATTATTTCTTTTCTTGTCCTACTTTACTGGTAGATAGGTTTGCCTGTCGCCCCTCCTGGGACATAGACCGCTGACAAGAGCTTTCGATGCGCCTCTGTCCTGGCCTAGTCTCTCCAACTGTCCTTGGTCTTCTTGGTGTACCACCCGGCTTCATAAATTCTCCACCGGGAGATCCATTTTTCCCCTGGTCCGAGCTGTCTGTATTTCTCTTTGTCTGCGTTTCTGTAGCGAGTTGTTTTTTACGATATAAGGTTGCTGACCTTATGCTCAACCCCCAACCTGGAGGACCAGGGTGCTAGCTTTCGTCTGATCCCTACCCGCGCAGACCTTCCCAGCTTGGTTGAACCTGCCAGGAGTTAACACTCCCGCTGGTATAGCTCTGTAGGTCGACGGGGTACACAAGATGCCAAGCCACGGCAAGGCCCTAGCACCAAACAACAGCCTACTTTACTACCTCAAGTTAAAGAAAAACTAGTTTAGCCAAGTATCGTATAAAATTAGTTACTACTTTTCTTTCACATCAGTCGTTTGATGCTCCGTGCAGGTAAACTCTACTGCCCTCCTTTTGTTATTTACTTGTCCTAATTTAAGATGGCATTACTATGACTGCCCTAGATGGTCTCATTACTGACAGATTGACTATTTTAACACGATATACATTGTTAAAAAGTAAAGTGAAGTTCCATTTCAAACCTGACGGTCTATATTGCAAGTGAAGTAGAGTTCACTTGTTTCTGTGACCTCGGCATATGAAGAGATAGTGTGGTCAGCACTATGCCCAGCCGCCTTTACTTTCCCTAACGTGTGTCAGGTACCCATCCGAGTTGGGAGTATTCAGACCTATTAAACGCTTTCTACTTGCTGTGGTTACAAGGACCAAGAATTCTGCAGGAAGCCAGGGTGTCACTCAGCCCCAGGAAGGTGTGTAAGCGATCCAACTACGACAGTCAGAGCATGATCTGTGTCAGGGGGTCTATTTTTACCTGCAGTGGCGACAGTGGTGGGCCGCTTGTTGCTAATACCAAAGGTCAGTTTGATTTGATTAGTTTTGCTAATTGGCGTCTGGTTGTCAATACCAAAGGTTAATTGGATTTGATTAGTGTGGCTAATGAACGTGTGGTTGCATAGAACAACGACCTGAGAAGGGGGGGGGGGTGCTATAATGGGTAAATGTGGGGATGGAGTTTCGCGCTCTCTCCCCATAGTTTAATTTCTCCCTTGTTTAAGTATGTAGAAAAAATTAAAAGCGATTATCAGTCAGTAAATATATAAAATAATAGTACCGGCGTGGTCGGGTCAATAAAGCGCATGGTTGCTAAACCGAAACGTCCCGAGTTTGAACCCCGGGTAGATGAGGCCCATTATCTGTGACATCAACCTATCTAGGAGAGACAACACCAAAATCAAACAAACCGCTGCTCTACAGTTTCTTCTTGGTGTACAAATAAAGGAAAAAAAGGCCGAAATCAACAGCCTATATGGCGCATAACAAGTTGAAACGTAAGACTTAAATGTGTTGGAAGAAATCACGTTCAACATTCTACTTAATTAAGAACGAATAAAAATAAACCGGGAGTGATCTCCCCTAAACTTTCTCGAATATTCATATATAAAACAACAGGGGATGGGAACTCGGGATATAGTTATGATTTTTAATCCATTTTAAATGCTTAAACTTTTTAAAACAGAATAGAATCTCATAGTAAAAAGAATTGCGCACCAAGCGAACGCTAAAAACGGAATGTGCATAATAGTGCAGACTATTATTAGCACATTATAAATTTCCATGCGTTTTTGAGAAATCAGAAATAGCGTAAATTACTACTTTTGGTCAACGGAAATTACTCAAAATTTGATAGAAAGTAGAGGATTAGATCTTTTACTTACGTGTAAAATTTCATTTATCTATCTGAAATAGTACTTAAGTTATAGGCTTTTGAAAAATTCAAAGCAGAAAAAGTACCACTTCCGGTTATCGGGAATCGCTCAAAAGTTGATAAGGATCTACGATTTTGATAAAATACTTATATATGAAATTTCATCAACCTAGCTGTAACGGTACTCAAGTTATCGTGTTTATACACACACACACAGACAGACACACACACACACACACAGACATACGGACGAGATTGCAAAATTATGTTTCTCCGTACCAGTAAGGTGTAAAACGTCGAGATGTGTAAAAATCTCGATTTTTTAAGACTTTCTTTATAGGGCCTACTTCGTATATACGAGAAAGTAAAAATAATACATAATAATTAAATACCTGCTGTAAAAATAGTCTACGTGAACAAAACAGCTTTCTTATTATTTAACCCCGTCAATAGGCTCTGCCGTTAGGATGGTAATATTTTTTTTAGATATATCTAGAAAAACTTCTATTATGTTTTTTTTTCTTAAACCTAAGTGTTGCGAAGTGAGTTTTGGTACAGGGTCGACGCTGAACGTGACGAACAATAGATGACGACGATCCAAAAAGAGAACACTGTACGACGCCACGATGTTTCTATATTTTATTACATATAATAAACAGCTACATCAACAGCAGACACAGGACGAAGACTTCCTAACACAACCTCACATGACGACGACAAGACGCAGACTGACTTTCAACTATCTTCCTAACAACGAAAACATTCCCTCTTACGTCACATCCTTATTTATTCATGCATTCATAATCTTTTATTAATATCGCTACACACATACTCTCAAACCATCCACAACTATATTAACTCTATTCAACTACACACATACTCTCAAACCATCCACAACTATATTAACTCTATTCAACTACACACATACTCTCAAGCCATCCACAACTATATTAACTCTATTCAACTACACACATACTCTCAAACTCATTCCATACATTTAGGTCCATTCACAACATACCCCTCTCCTTTCTTCAGCTGAAAATACATACCAGAACTATCAAACTATTTTCAGCTTCAACTTCATAAGACATGCATCCATACAATATGCTACATATATACATGCAATATGCAACAAAGACAATGTTCTGTGGTCCATGGTTCTTCATCACCGTCGTCAGTCAACCTGAACACACAAATCTTTTGGTCCCAACCAACACCTTGTCCACCCACATCTTTTGGTTTCTTGTCTCTGGACATCAACACAAGCTAAAAGAAAAATAATCCAGGACCAGCATGTTCCCAAATCTTAAAATCCATGTTTAATATATAAGTACCCCTGTTGAGCACCTCTTCCTGTTATTACAATATGATATTACAACCAAATAGCAAAGTACATGGTTTCTAAAATGTGAAAATTAAATCGCAACTATTAATTAAAATCAATCCGATTTGGCTATATATCATATAACTCAATAGATTCCCAAGCATCATAAAACTACTATCCAACAATCAGGAAATCAACAGTCCAAGCAAATACCAACACTCCATATTTAAACCAATTAAACCTAAAGATATTATAGTTAATCTATACAATGGAGTACACCAATGAACTAAATTAGAACCATCAACACTTCCAATAAGCCAGTACAATATCACATAGAGGAGTATTTCCCGTGAACCCCCAAACACAACAACCAGGTACTCGGCACAACCTCGAGATACCAAAAAATAACGCGGACTGCATCCTCAGTCTCGCAAAACAAAATCATTATCTAGCGAAGATCAATTATCTCCAAAAAAAAAAAAACAACAACACTAAGCTAATGGGTTCATTATCCAACCAAGAAAATCAAACCTCTTAGGATATAATAATTTAGCACATTGTACCTAAAATACCACCATATTGCTATATCTCTAGTATAGAAATATAATATCTAATGGAGGACAATTTTCCATGACCCCGGGACAAACAAAATATCTCGGCAAACCATCGAGATCCAAATAACCATAATCACTATCCATCATATAACTAAGTTACGTATCAACCAGACAGCATCCAGCATGAATGGGTGACAATAAAATCAACTACTCTACACGGGAAACAGGAAAAATACTGGGCCCAACAACCAAATCAGAAAATATATCCTCAATTGATATCATATGTAATACACCAAAGAGTCCCTAAACCTAACACTAACAAAGTAACAAATTACTTATAGTCAATACATATTACAACCATGCACATAAGGGGAACCTAACGCTATATATTTCAATAACGCCCTCTCTAAGGCGCTTCCCTAAATGAGAATGGTTAATTGTAATTAACATAAGGCAAGTTAATTATACATTTAAATTTAAAGTATAGTAAACAGTATAACTACCACCAAAATTATATACATAATGACAAAATACAGTACTCTATCTCCATGATGGTATTTGGAGAGAGTAAAACCATATAGATCTACCAATATTAATTAACAGGTATTGTTGAAACTAATCATTAGTGAACCAGTAACTGGTTGTTATTATCTTACACTATAATTCACCAGATCTAGACCGACTTTTATATAGATGGTAGATAGTGTCTAGTTGTCCTAATTATTACAAGATTTGCTTCTAAATATTATATAAAACTAGATTCTAAATTACAGGGCAAATGAAATTTTACACAATTAGTGTGAACTATGACACTGGTAACTGGATTCTAGATCTACATCAATGATGTTGGGGAAAAAATTTATATCCAGTAGGGCCTAAACAAATATTACTAAAAATGAACAACAAAAAAATTGTATTAGATCTTAGTATCTAAAAAAAATGGAAGAGGTGTACTCAACTTAAACAATCCCAGACGTCAGGTCTTCATGACAACTCCAGATCCCACACTCCATAGGCCACATCAGATTCAGGCGATGACTTGTAGTACACATGCTGGTATAGTCCAAGTCAGTCACACACACTGGATTGGTGACGCAGATTGACGTCGACTTGTACTTCGAGAATCCAGGCAGATAATATAGTTCTTGTAGTTCGGGAATTCATCTCGACCAATACTGGGTTGAACAAACGAAGAAAATTCTCGTCTGCACTGTCGACAAAGTCAACCACAAAGAAATTTGACATGATGAAGGTCAGGGACGTCATCAAAACATGTAGGCCAAACAATTCAGCCGATCACGACGATGTGGGTTAGACGAGGGTGATGACGTAAACTCTTCCGACGAACAGTTGACGATGTAGGAAGAAACCCGAAAATTAATCATCAGTCATAAAGAAAATCTGCATAAACGACGAAAACAGCACGGCCATTGTAGAGGGTCGGGGACGAGTGGCGATGACGTCATAATAAACAACTGTGGACATCAAATAAATGCCAGCCTTTGGACTACTGCTCAGCACGAACCAAAGATGAAAACGGCCACATCCGTAGTTCTAACCTTGACGGGAATCAATGGGCGATGAGAGACCCGATATAGTCGCTGGATATCGACGTCACATCCTTATTTATTCATGCATTCATAATCTTTTATTAATATCGCTACACACATACTCTCAAACCATCCACAACTATATTAACTCTATTCAACTACACACATACTCTCAAACCATCCACAACTATATTAACTCTATTCAACTACACACATACTCTCAAGCCATCCACAACTATATTAACTCTATTCAACTACACACATACTCTCAAACTCATTCCATACATTTAGGTCCATTCACAATGTCTTACATCGTATTACTGATTGTACTTTCTATTTTCTACATAGGTTTCTACGAGCAGTATTTCTTCTAGAATTTTTTCTCCGGGGGGGGGGGGGGGCACTTGAAATTTTCGGGGGGGGGGGGGCGGTAGACTTTCTTCGGCGGGGGGGGGGGGGGGCGGACACTGTTAAAATTATATATTTTCTAAATAAATTATATAAATTTCATTTCGTTCGGGGGGGGGGGAGGGGCGGTAAAAAAATTTCGGGGGGGGGGGGGCTTCGTCCCCCCCGAAGAGATGCCTGGAAGAAACTCTGTCTACGAGGTGTTGGGACTGACATCGTATTACTGATTGTACTATCTATTTCATTGAATACATAGGTTTCTACGAGGTGTTGGGAATTGCATCGTATGGAAGTAACAACGACTGTAAGATCCCTCGTACCGCCTTCTTCACCAAGGTTGTCAGGTTTCTCGCCTGGATTCTTTCGAGGATCAGAATATATGGGAAAAATAAAGCCGAGAGAACTCTACCGCCACGTCCTCGGTTCATTAGATGAACCTTCACAGTGTTAAAAATAAAGTTATATTTAAAAAAAAAATTGATTCCATATTTTATAGATAAACGTCCATTCAACTAATTTCGTAAAAATAGCAGCCTCTCCATTCTACGACAAATGTCATTGAGGTTTTTATTCGGAGAAAAGTTATGCCTATAGAAACTGGATTCTAAATAAATTAAATAAATCAAAATAGCTCTCATAGTTTGTTTATATTTAAAACAGTGTACGTTACTTTGTTTCATCCTATATAGATTTAGTTTGTATAAGACTGTGGATTTTGTATAGGTTGCTAAATATAGACATAGACATGAACATAGACATGAACATAGACTTGGTCATCGACATAGACATTGACATGGCCATGGACACGTAGACATAGACCCCTTCTCAGCCACCCCTTAGATTTATTTATGAGTGGAAGCCCAACAAATTTTCCACACAGATAATTTTGCGTCTTCTAATTCAAATAACGAATGGTTGTAAACATGCATTTGATTGACAAAGTAAATTTTCAAAGCCAATGGAAACAAGTAGTAATGTATAACATCCTAATCACGCTACCAAACCCCGCTACCAAACCCCGTTTCCAAACCAAGCTTCCACCCATCCGTCCAACCATCCAACCAACCATCCTTACTACCACCTTTCCAACCACGCTAGCAACCACCTTGAGGAAACACATTGAGTGACTTGTGCAGAGGCGTGACTAAGGTAGTCGTTATTAGAAGCGTGACTAAGGTAGTCGTTATCAGAGGCGTGAAACAATTTAATGATTGTTCCCCTTTACAATAAATTTATTTTCAATTTTAAACTGGATAACCTATGTACAGAAATATTTTTTATTAATTAATTATTACTAATTTCTTTAAGATTTAAATAAAAAAGACTATAAAATGTTGACAAAAATTGTAATCATTGTTGCAGTTACAAAGCTAGGCGTTGAAATATCACTTTCTGTTAATATTGCTATTTCAGTTACAAAACTAATAATTTAATATCTAATTTCACATAAAAATGAGAGAAATGCAACTGGAATTTTGGAATAAAATGGCGGCGTCTATCGAAGAACATTGTGTTCCCATTCAAAAGTTTAACGCGTTCTAAATCTAATTTTCTGTCGGTCATAACTTTAACAATACGTCCGTTTGCTGTATTTATTACGTTCCAACACTTATATCAATTTTAAACTGTCTTTTTTCATTTAGTTTTACAATAAATTTCTCTAGATCTAAAGATCAGCTGTCGAAGGAAAGTTATGAATCTAGCCTAGATCTAGATCTAGCCTAGATCTAGGTCACTAGACTTAATGTAAATTCTAGATCTAGACTTAATGTAAATTCTACATCTAGAATCTATTTCAGGCCTTAATACATCTAGAATCTATTTCAGGCCTTAATTATTTTATATAAATCTTTGTTTGGCTAATTTAAGATAAATTTTAATTTGAAAGTTACTAGATTCTACTACTAGACTTAGATCTAGATCTATGCGCGGAGACTCAAAAGTATAGTATAAATGTTCATTTGTGACGTCACGAGTAAATAGCTAAGTTTGTAGCGTAGTCCGCTCTCATGCGGGTGGTACAGGTACTAGACCAATATGTCAATGATATTTGTTTTCAATTTTTTTGTTTTTTAGATGTGAATGATAAAGTTGCCTATCTGAACTTGGCAGGATACAGGGCAGGTGAAGTAGAGTTCATCTGTTTCTTTGTCCTAAGCATATGAAAGGATAGTGTGGTCAGAGACATGCTCGGCTGGAATCGTTTTTTAAACGATAAAAACATGTTGTCTGAGACTTGGCGGGACACTGGGCAGGTGAAGTAGAGTTGAGTAGGTCACATGTGACGTCAGTATATGAAGGGATAGTCCGAAATCGGTGTTTTCGGTGTTTTTAAAAGATAAGAAACATATTTTTGAATGTGGGGTCTGTTTTTGTGACGATAAGTGACACTGCAGTAGCGTAGCGAGGAGGGGGGGCGGGAGGGGAGGCGGGGGGAGGGGAGGCGGGGGGGGGAAGGGGAGGCGGGGGGAGGTGGAGGGGGGGGGCGGGGGGACATATTTGGGGCGCCAAAATGGTTTGGAAAAATAAATTGAAAGGTTGAGGGGGGTTCAAATCGAAAGTTTGAGTGGGGGAGGGGGGGGGTGCACATCAAAAGTTTGAGGGGGGGGGGGGGTTGAAAATCGAAATCTTGGGGGGGGGGGTTAAAATCGAAAAGTTTGTCCCCGGGCGCCGGGAAGGCTCGCTATGCCTCTGAGTGACAGACGTGATGTTTTTTGATGGATGACCCCCGAAACCCACATTTATCCAACGGATGACGGGTATTCTAGTTATGTTTAAAAGGTGCATGTTTTCAGGAAAAATGGCAACCAAAATATATACGTTTTTATTAAGCTAAACAACATAACATTAGCTCACACTGATAAACCGGCTAAAATAATTCAGTAAAATAACGTATATTCATTGTTGTTTCTGTTGTTCATTGAATCTAATGTTTGTTTGTTTTTGGCGCAGAAATTTTTTTTTCCCTATGGTGCACTCTTGTACTAAATTTATTAAAATCCCATTAAACTTTACCTGAAGGCTATTTTTGCTTTACAGCTAAGTACCATATGCGCGTTTAAAAATGTAGTCACTAGTCTTCGAACTGCATGTTTTAATTTTGAATATTTCTCTTAATTTTATTACCCGCTCTAACTGAAGTTGTCCTTATACATTCAAATCAAAGAGCTAATTTTTTTCTACATAAGTAATTGTTATAAATGAAATTTCTACACATTGCTGACTTTATGATATCTGGTTAGAGACAAATATATTAATACTAAACTAAACGTCACTAAACCCGGCGCTGTTTGTAAACATTGAGAGTGAACCACAGCTCACCTACCATGTAGGGGTGGGGGTGGTAGGGAGCGCGCTTGCAGCTTGTTTTCTAGCGTCTCCCAGGAGAGAATTATATATATAGATACAAACCTGTAAACTTTGAGAGATTTCAGTATCTATATATATAATACTCATATGGGAGACGCTAGAAAACAAGCTGTAAACGCGCTCCCTGTAAATGTTTACAAACAGAGCCGGGTTTAGTGACGACTATTAGGGGCAGATAATTTAGTTTGAAACGATTTTAAACGTAGGGGGGAGGGTAACTAAGTGGAGTTTACTTTAATGGAGGGGGGGGGGGATTATCGTCCTTAACGAGCTACTTACAGTGTTTTAAAGAAATATTTTCAGTGGCAGCGTTGGTAGTGTCGAATTCACAAATAATGAATAACTGAAAAGTAGAAAAAAACAACAAATAAATAGCGGCGTATGACATGCCGCGGTTCGGCTTGTTATTATATATTTATCTGAAACTCCATAAACCTTTAAACGTTTCTATACCACTATTCTGACTACCCTATAAAGTAAGCTTTTTCAATTCAAAATCAATAACTACTGTGTATTATGAAAATCATATATATATATATATATATATATATATATATATATATATATATATATATAGTACACAAATATATAACTATATATTGGGGTAGGGTGGGGGCCCCAAATCGGCGCTCACCCAGTGTATCGAAATGGGTTGTAACGCCTCTGATTTCATTCTCGACAACGTCAAGTCGTTCACTCTACCAAGTGTCCATTTCTTTGATCGCTATTATTGTGTCATGTGACAGCGCCATCTAAATGGGACCAGCTCTACAGCTCCATGTGACCAGCTCTACAGCTCCATGTGACCAGCTCTACAGCTCCATGTGACCAGCTCCATGTGACCAGCTCTACAGCTCCATGTGACCAGCTCCATGTGACCAGCTCTACAGCTCCATGTGACCAGCTCCATGTGACCAGCTCTACAGCTCCATGTGACCAGCTCTACAGCTCCATGTGACCAGCTCTACAGCTTCATGTGACCAGCTCTACAGCTCCATGTGACCAGCTCTACAGCTCCATGTGACCAGCTCTACAGCTCCATGTGACCAGCTCTACAGCTCCATGTGACCAGCTCCATGTGACCAGCTCTACAGCTCCATGTGACCAGCTCTACAGCTCCATGTGACCAGCTCCATGTGACCAGCTCTACAGCTCCATGTGACCAGCTCCATGTGACCAGCTCTACAGCTCCATGTGACCAACTCTACAGCTCCATGTGACCAGCTCTACAGCTCCATGTGACCAGCTCTACAGCTCCATGTGACCAGCTCTACAGCTCCATGTGACCAGCTCTACAGCTCCATGTGACCAGCTCCATGTGACCAGCTCTACAGCTCCATGTGACCAGCTCTACAGCTCCATGTGACCAGCTCCATGTGACCAGCTCTACAGCTCCATGTGACCAGCTCCATGTGACCAGCTCCATGTGACCAGCTCTACAGCTCCATGTGACCAGCTCTACAGCTCCATGTGACCAGCTCTACAGCTCCATGTGACCAGCTCCATGTGACCAGCTCTACAGCTCCATGTGACCAGCTCTACAGCTCCATGTGACCAGCTCTACAGCTCCATGTGACCAGCTCTACAGCTTCATGTGACCAGCTCTACAGCTCCGAGCTACAGCTAAGAGCCCCTCATCACATCCAGAAGATGACGTCACCACCACACAGTATATCAAAAAGACGTCACGCAGTGCCGTCAAACCAATATTACAACATTGTTATAAAATGTTTTCTGAATCTACAAGGGGGTGGGGGGGGGGCAATTAAAAATCTGGCAACATTAATTAATCCCTTTAAATGAATAAATATTAATTAGCCAGACGAATTAGCTGTTGTCAGATAATCCACAGGACGTGCTGCCACTACACAACATGACCACTACAGATTCGATCTATCAATGGATCTAACACCACATGCATGTGTTCAGCTGACTGGCTTATCAAATATGACACTGCATGCAGTTCATGACTGTCGCAGTTTGCGTTCGTCAATGTATCTGACACCATGTGGAGATATCCATTGGATCATCAGATTTTATCCTGTCTACACCAGCGTCTAAATATATTTAGCACCGCGGTAAATATGTTAATTAGATTGGACCATTTATAGCACCGCGGTAAATATGTTAATTAGATTGGACCATCAGATTTTATCCTGTCTACACCAGCGTCTAAATATATTTAGCACCGCGGTAAATATGTTAATTAGATTGGACCATCAGATTTTATCCTGTCTACACCAGAGTCTACACTCACCAATTCCATCTGTCAATATATCTAGCACCGCGGTAATGTGTTAATTTGATTGGACCATCAGATTTTACACAGTCAACGCCAGTGTCTACACCCACCAATTCGATCTGTCAATATATCTTGTACCCCGTCAACATGTTAATTTAGCTAATCCTAATGTGTCTAGCGCTGTTGAAAGTTGTTAAAAGTTTGGATACACTTTGATACACGGTATATTTCGGGTTTGAGCAGGTTTGACTCCCAAAGACAACACCACATGACAACAACACCACATGACAACAACACCACATGACAACAACATCACATGACAACAACATCACAAGACAACAACATCACATGACAACAACATCACATGACAACATCACATGACAATACCAGATGACAACATTAGAAGACAACAACATCACATGACAACAACATCACATGACGACAACATCATATGACAACATCACATGACAACAGCAGATGACAACACTAGAAGACAACAACATCACATCACAACATCACATTACAACACCAAATGACAACACTAGAAGACAACAACATCACATTACAACAACATCACATGACAACAACATCACACGACAACAACATCACATGACAACAACATCACATGACAACAACATCACATGACAACAACATCACATGACAACAACATCACATGACAACAACATCATATGACAACATCACATGACAACACCAGATGACAACATTAGAAGACAACAACATCACATGACAACAACATCACATGACAACAACATCACATGACAACACCAGATGACAACATTAGAAGACAACAACATCACATTACAACAACATCACATGACAACAACATCACATAACAACAACACCACATGACAACAACATCACATTACAACAACATCACATGACAACAACATCACATTACAACAACATCACATGACAACAACATCACATGACAACAACATCACATGACAACAACATCACATGACAACATCACATGACAACAACATCACATGACAACAACATCACATTACAACAACATCACATGACAACAACATCACATGACAACAACATCATATGACAACATCACATGACAACACCAGATGACAACATTAGAAGACAACAACATCACATGACAACAACATCACATGACAACAACATCATATGACAACATCACATGACAACAGCAGATGACAACACTAGAAGACAACAACATCACATCACAACATCACATTACAACACCAAATGACAACACTAGAAGACAACAACATCACATGACAACAACATCACATGACAACAACATCACACGACAACAACATCACATGACAACATCACATTACAACACCAAATGACAACACTAGAAGACAACAACATCACATGACAACAACATCACATGACAACATCACATGACAACAACATCACATGACAACATCGCATTGCAACACCAGATGACAACACTAGAAGACAACAACAGCACATAACAACACAACGTGACAATAAAACCACACGACAACACCACTTTACACTGTAAGAATAAAAAAATCTTCCAGATTTGATAAAAAATATGTGCGTTTCTTTCTTAATTAGACTTTCATCCGATAGATTTGGCTGAAAGCTAGAAAATTATTGTCTAAGCGTTGTACTTTGTAAAGGCTGTACAATATAAAATCCATGCTTGTTAAAAATAAAATTGTAATATAATACTTTGAATTGGCCTGGAAAAAAACAATGGGGAGAAACTTTGTATCAGTCAAATGTGTATGAATATTCGATTTTAAAATCAATCTATAAGTTTAAAATGTCAGTATGTCATTTATGGGACGGCGTGGCCTAGCGGTAGAGCGCTACACTGCTACTAGAGATCAAACCCGGGTTCAAATCAGTACAAGGTCCCTGAGTCAAATCAGCTCTAATAAATACCAAAATAAAGAGGCTGAGCATAGTGTTGACCACGCTACATTTTTGTTTGCAAAAATCACAGAAACAGGTAAACTCTACTTCACTTACCCAATGAACCGTCATTTTCCAGAAGGAAACTTTACTTTTATGACCTTAATTGTGCGGCTCAAGTTATTTGATAGATTGATAAGATACAGACAACAAAGATATATATGAGCATTTACACCCCCCTCCTGCTGGTGTTTTTTTTTGTCAGAACACACATACGTGTGGTCTAGGGCCATATCCATATACGGTTTGTCTGAATATGAGCTCAATGGGCGGGGCTAAGTATGGCCGTCTCCATATATGGTTACCACGTGACACAAATTGTGTAGCTGGCCAGGCTTTAAATAGTGCTGAGAGATAGCTCAGCTACAGACAACTTTGAAGTCAGCTACAGACAACTTTGGAGTCAGCTACAGACAACTTTGGAGTCAGCATGAGACTGAAGCTGTGGACATCACCTGGACTTCTGGTCTTGGTCCTCTTATTGCTGGCGTCACGTGCGGCTGGGAGTCCCTACCAGGTGAGGTCAATTGTTTTTCGCAGGTACAGACAAAAGTCTAGTTCTGCAGAGTCCGAAAAACTTCTAGGTTTTTCTATACTTATAATGTATCCTGTTTTAAAATAGTTTATCAATGTCTAGTATAACCTAGTGTAAAACATTTCTTTTTACTTTCTCGTATATACGAAGTATAGAGAAAGTCTTGTAATCGTGCAAAAAAAAAAAATCGAGATTTTTGAAAATCTCAACGTTTTACATCTCACTGATACGGAAAAACATAATTTTGCAATCTTGTCCGTATGTCTGTGTGTGTGTGTGTGTCCATGTGTAAACACGATAACTTGAGTACCGTTACAGCTAGGTTGATGAAATTTCATATATAAGTATTTTATCAAAATCGTAGATCCGTATCAACTTTTGAGCGATTTCCGATAACCGGAAGTGGTACTTTTTCTACTTTGAATTTTTCAAAAGCCTATAACTTGAGTACTATTTCAGATAGATTAATGCAATTTCAAATGTAAGTAAAAGATCTAATTCTCTACCATCTGTAAAATTTTGAGTAATTTCGGTTGACCGGAAGTACTAATTTACGCTACTTCCGATTTCTCAAAAAACTAATGTAAATTTTTAAAGTACTAATAATATTGCGCACTATTATGCACTTTTTATTTGGCGTTCACTTGGTGTGCAATCTTTCGTCTACGAGATTTTATTCTATTTTTTAAACTTTAAGTATTTAAAATGGATTAAAAATCATGTCTATAGTCCGAGTTCCCATCCCCTGTTATTTTATATAAGAATATTCGAGAAAGTTTAGGGGAGATCACTCCCGGTTTATTTAGTCTATAGTCTAGGGTTAAAATAAGTCTTGGTATGACTTAAATGTCTAGTTTTGGGATTATGCACGCTATAGAGTGCCAAAAAAATCGAGTACCTAGGTGAATTTAGGGCGAACTTAACCTAACGCAAAGCCTAACCATAAATCTCATCGTAAATCTCACCATAATTAGAATAATCCGAAATCTAAACTCTAATCAAATTAAGTACCGGTAGGTCTATGTTATTAAAATAATACTCTAAATTTGCTTAGGACAACTCGTCACTGATTCCAATAAATGGTAACTAAAAACAAAATGTACATTTCTTTACAAATTATCACAAATTAAAGTTGGCTATATTTTACTTTAATCTAGCCTACGTCTTGTAGTCTATCATTTTGATCAAAAACATTGTTTTATGATTTAAAATAACTTAATAATAGCTTTTTATTTATTTGTGTTTTCCCGATTTAATCAAAATATTTACAATTGGTTTGAAAAAAACTAGCTGGTAGCCTACATGAGAAAATGAGAAGTTGGTGACCAGCTTACGAGCACTTTTTGAAATCCATAGTTAGGTCGGTAAAGTCCATTTTGGTATTTGTGCTTGTGGTTGATGCACAGGCTGTCAATGTCCTAGGGTAATAAATGGCACACAGTACTAACGTGAAGTAAACGTCCTTAGTTCGTACTTGAAAAACGTTCGTAACTTGAACGTATAACGTGATTTCTATCTCTTCTAAATCGGATTTATTAATTATTTTCAGCAAAGAGGATTTTCCCGATGGATTGAATGTAAGTTTTTATATTATCCCATTTCACAGATGGTCTTATAACGTGGTTAGGTGTACATTTATCATGTAGGGTTTTAACTGTTAATTACTAAGTTTGTGTAGCTTTGCATCATGGCGGTTGTAACTACTTCTAACAGTAGGCCTACAACTAAATATCATCGTTATGCATCGTTTTGTATTACCCTGACCTACTGTTATACTGAAAAATATGCCAACAGTATTATCATCTCCCTCAACCAACATCATTCATCAATGTTGTCCCTGTGTTTCAACCACCATCATTCATCAATGTTGTCCCTGTGTTTCAACCTACATCATTCATCAATGTTGTCTGAACCAACATCATTCATCAATGTTGTCCTGTGTCTCAACCAACATCATTCTTTAATGTTGTTACTGTGTTTCAACCAACATCATTCATCAATGTTGTCCCTGTGTTTCAACCAACATCACTCATCAATGTTGTCTGAACCAACATCATTCATCAATGTTGTCTGAACCAACATCATTCATCAATGTTGTCCCTGTGTCTCAACCAACATCATTCATCAATGTTGTCTGAACCAACATCATTAATCAATGTTGTCCCTGTGTTTCAACCAAAATCATTCATCAATGTTGTCCCCGTGTCTCAACCAACATCATTCATCAATGTTGTCTGAACCAACATCATTCATCAATGTTGTCTCTGTGTTTCAACCAACATCATTCATCAATGTTGTCTGAACCAACATCATTCATCAATGTTGTCTGAACCAACATCATTCATCAATTTTGTCTGAACCAACATCATTCATCAATGTTGCCTGAACCAATATCATTCATCAATGTTGTCTGAACCAACATCATTCATCAATGTTGCCTGAACCAACATCATTCATCAATGTTGTCTGAACCAACATCATTCATCAATGTTGTCTGAACCAACATCATTCATCAATGTTGTCTGAACCAACATCATTCATCAATGTTGTCTGAACCAACATCATTCATCAATGTTGTCTGAACCAACATCATTCATCAATGTTGTCTGAACCAACATCATTCATCAATGTTGTCTGAACCAACATCATTCATCAATGTTGTCTGAACCAACATCATTCATCAATGTTGCCTGAACCAACATCATTCATCAATGTTGTCTGAACCAACATCATTCATCAATGTTGTCTGAACCAACATCATTCATCAATGTTGTCCCTGTGTTTCAAACAACATCATTCATCAATGTTGTCTGAACCAACATCAGTCATCAATGTTGTCCCTGTGTTTCAAACAACATCATTCATCAATGTTGTCTGAACCAACATCACTCATCAATGTTGTCCCTGTGTCTCAAACAACCTTCCAGACGGACCGGTGACGTGTGGGACCCGACCTTTGTTCGATGGCACCAAAATCAGTCACCCCGACTCTCTGAGCAGATCTACTAAAATTGTTGGGGGTCACGACGCTGAGCGAGGATCGAATCCCTGGCAGGTCTTGCTGTCCTTGAGAAGAGTTAATAGTTCTCCTATATGTGGAGGAACTATTTTAAATGAATACTGGATTCTGACCGCCGCCCACTGTTACAGGTAAGTTTGAATTGGGTTTTTAATTAGTCAAAATACATCTTTTGATTACTATTGAGATCGATAGCACTCATACCTAACCCTAAGCCTAAAGTGTTTAATGCTATCGGAGTTTCTTGGAAGTCGAATATATCAAATACATAATTATTGGATCTTTAATTGAAATTACCTTAGATTATTACTTTGAATGTATGTTTTTGTTACTAATTTGTTTTTGAGAAATAAACATTTTATTCTAAAATAAGGACATTTTAAAGATTTAAGTGACACGCCATGTTTATTTATATAATATACTTACATCTATCAGTTTAAAAAAACAACTTTTTATTAATTTTTATATAATGTGTAATATACGCTCGTCTATTTCCATATGCAATCACTTTTCATCAATTTATATTGAGAAATATCCGCATTTGTTTCTTTATTTCTATGTATTTTTAAGGGGTGTAATCAGCTCTTACATAGTTGCTGGCGATCATAACCAATTGATTGATGAAAAGAATGATCAAAAGTTTGATGTCGAAAACGTTATAAAGCATGAAAAATACCAAAAGGGTAACTTCAAATCTAGTGTTTTACCGATTTTGTTATTATTATTTTTGGTATTGTCCCGTAAGAAAAATAAAAAGCAGGAGTGAAAATTCGGTCACTTCTACTTGACCGATACGATTCACATTTGACACGTGGGTCAAGACATGAAAACAATGCAATCTGAAATTAAATTTGACTTAATTGGATGCCTAATTAATTTTTATGAATTAATTAAAATTTGGACCGAATTAGTAGGCATATCTATCCAACCACGTTCAATAGGTGGGCAGTGGTTTTTAGTCATGAAACTCTATTGTAAAAACATGTAAAGTACTAAAAACAAATTCATAAAAAACGTTTTAATAACAAGCTTTTGTGTAATAATGCACTAAAAAGTAGAAAATAAATTATAAACTGCTATTTAAATAACTATAAAGAAAAGCGTGGTTCACTTTAGTATCTATTGGATACCTTTACTAACAGAGTTTCTTCCAGGCATCTAACCCCCCCGAAAAAATTTTACCGCCCCCCCCCCCCCCCCCGAACGAAATGAAATTTATATAATTTATATAGAAAATATATACTTTTAACAGTGTCCGCCCCCCCCCCTGAAGAAAGTTTACCGCCCCCCCCCCCCCCCCGAAGATTTCAAGTGCCCCCCCCCCCCCCCCCCGGAGAAAAAAGTCTGGAAGAAACACTGAAAATTACTAATGTTTAGGAAGAGACCCACGCTTTCTTTATAGTAATTTAAATAGTAGTCTATAATTTATTTTCTACTTTTTAGTGCATTAGTACATGAAAGCTTGTTATTAAAACGTTTTTTTTTAATGAATTTTTTTTTACTTTGTTGTATACAGAGTAGGCCTATACCGGAAGTCTTTTAATCATGCAAAAAATTTAAAAGACATTTGACAGTTTTCGCTATTTAACAATTCCCTACTTTTTTATACGCGGAATATAAAAGATGTATTTTAATCACGCAGAATAATCTAAATTAAGATTTTGACAAGTATTGAAGTTCTACAGCCTTCGAAGCCAAATAGACTTAGTTTTGAATTCCCGTTCGTCTGCCTTTGTGTATAAAACACAATAACTTGAGTACAGTTTTAGCTATTTATTAAACTAGACGACCCGGTTTCCCTTTGTAAAACGATCTGTCATCTGCACTTAAAATGCGAAAACTTTTTACACTGCGCTTACCCCATCAGTATAACACACTGGCGAAAATATACATGTTTTTTTTAAATAAGTGTTATTATAGTTCCACTCACTACCCTTTCTTTCCATATCACTTACGAATAGTATCAAATCACGTACAGTATATTATTAACCGTATTCCTGGTTACTATTTCACTATATTTTTGGATAATAGAATATTGAATTATTATTTTTCTAATTAATCATTAAATGAAAGTAATTTCAGATTTATTACATTATACTGAACAACCACATTTCATCCCACTCCAACACACCAACCAAACACACTACACTCCAATGACACACGTGGAAGGGGTGGCGGAGACTCTGGTTGACAGTTTAAATTTCCACACATTAACTCTAGCAACGTGGGAAGATGGCAAATAGGATCCAAATTTTGTTTAAATACTATTTACTTGTTTACATTGCCATTACAAAATAGATACAATATAATACAACAAAACATCAATGGTAAAGCCCCCCCCCCCCCCCAATTTATTTAAAGCCTTTAATAATTCAGTTTTAAAAAAGCTGCAATATATTTCGTTATAATTGTTTATTGTTTGGCCAACAATGGGGAACATGTCAAAAGTGTTTTCAAAATGGCAATACAAAATGTAAAATTGTTATTTACCAAGGTCGTACGTCGTTAACGTTTCCATTTTATATTATTTCATTTGAAAATATTTAATTTTTTTTTTTTTTTTTAAGTTATATTTGTTTATTTCAATTTTTATGATTCTATTTTTTTTTTAAATAGGTAATAACAAAACGTGTTGTAGCTATACCCTTATAAAATTAAATCTTGCTTATCAAAAAGATAACTGAAAGGGTCAAATAGATTTGGCATACAATAAAAAGAAAGTATCACTAACGCATTTTCATCTCTCCCAGCTAGTTACAATCATTTTGGTGAATAATAGTTCGTATTATTTTATATACTCTCCCACACCACTTGTTACGATCGACTTTGTGTTCAACTTCAAACACGATTCTAGGCACTGTTCAAACTATTATTTAACTTGTCATCTTCACCAAAACACTACACCACAAGACCCTAGCCACTACCAACAAGCCCTCGACCCTAGCCACTACCAACAAGCCCTCGACCCTAGCCTCTACCAACAAGCCCTCGACCCTAGCCTCTACCAACAAGCCCTCGACCCTAGCCGCTACCAACAAGCCCTCGACCCTAGCCGCTACCAACAAGCCCTCGACCCTAGCCTCTACCAACAAACCCTCGACCCTAGCCGCTACCAACAAGCCCTCGACCCTAGCCGCTACCAACAAGCCCTCGACCCTAGCCACTACCAACAAACCCTCGACCCTAGCCGCTACCAACAAGCCCTCGACCCTAGCCTCTACCAACAAGCCCTCGACCCTAGCCTCTACCAACAAGCCCTCGACCCTAGCCGCTACCAACAAGCCCTCGACCCTAGCCGCTACCAACAAGCCCTCGACCCTAGCCGCTACCAACAAGCCCTCGACCCTAGCCGCTACCAACAAGCCCTCGACCCTAGCCGCTACCAACAAGCCCTCGACCCTAGCCTCTACCAACAAGCCCTCGACCCTAGCCGCTACCAACAAGCCCTCGACCCTAGCCTCTACCAACAAGCCCTCGACCCTAGCCGCTACCAACAAGCCCTCGACCCTAGCCGCTACCAACAAGCCCTCGACCCTAGCCTCTACCAACAAGCCCTCGACCCCAGCCGCTACCAACAAGCCCTCGACCCTAGCCACTACCAACAAGCCCTCGACCCTAGCCTCTACCAACAAGCCCTCGACCCTAGCCGCTACCAACAAGCCCTCGACCCTAGCCACTACCAACAAGCCCTCGACCCTAGCCGCTACCAACAAGCCCTCGACCCTAGCCGCTACCAACAAGCCCTCGACCCTAGCCGCTACTAACAAACCCTAGCCGCTACCAACAAGCCCTCGACCCTAGCCACTACCAACAAACCCTCGACCCTAGCCGCTACCAACAAGCCCTCGACCCTAGCCTCTACCAACAAGCCCTCGAACCTAGCCGCTACTAACAAGCCCTCGACCCTAGCCGCTACCAACAAGCCCTCGACCCTAGCCGCTACTAACAAACCCTAGCCGCTACCAACAAGCCCTCGACCCTAGCCACTACCAACAAGCCCTCGACCCTAGCCGCTACCAACAAGCCATTGACCCTAGCCACTACCAACAAACCCTCGACCCTAGCCGCTACCAACAAGCCCTCGACCCTAGCCGCTACCAACAAGCCCTCGACCCCAGCCGCTACCAACAAGCCCTCGACCCTAGCCGCTACCAACAAGCCCTCGACCCTAGCCGCTACCAACAAGCCCTCGACCCCAGCCGCTACTAACAAGCCCTCGACCCTAGCCGCTACCAACAAGCCATTGACCCTAGCCGCTACCAACAAACCCTCGAACCTAGCCGCTACCAACCAAGCCCCCTTACAATCGTTCACTCCGGCTTTTATACCCGCAGTCGACCTTGGGATACCAATACATAAATTAAATTACTTAATTCGCCATTTTAGTTCTGTTGGGGAACAAGTAGATCTAGATATAGTGCAATCTACGCCAAACGAAAATTAACAATTTAAAAACAAAAGCAAGTATAAAAATATGAATAATAATTAAGTTTCTTTAGTAAACTATTTCAGGCATTAAATATTTCATATAAATGTTTGTTTCATAGCAATGGAATATGTTACAATACACAACGACGGGCAGCAGTAGGATTAAATTTTCTGTGCATATGCTAAGCGCATATATAAAATTATATTTCGCGTTTTAGGGGTTAAAACATTCCATTGCTTTAATGGTTGATCAGTAGATCTAGATAAATTTATTTTATTCACGAGTTAGATGATCTATGAACTGTATTCTATTGAAATTGATTATAGTGGTGGAAACTCATACATAAGTACGAAATCTTCTTTTGATTTCTAAAATAGATATGTTGAACACACCTACTATCCAAAAAAAAAAAAAACACGTTGTTTTTTTTCCCCTTAGCTACAAATAAGAATGACATCGCCTTAGTAAAAATCAAGCCGAAGAATGGCCGTGGGATCCAGTTCAATAACTACGTCCAGCCGGCCTGTCTGCCTGATGCCGACACTGAACTTAAACCTGATCAAAAGTTTACAATCTCTGGATGGGGACGAAGAAATCGAAACGAAGGTATGCGTCTGCAATAGGGATAGTGTTTGTGTAATAGATATAGTTATAATAAGAATAATTGTAATTGTAACTTCAAATATGACAGAAGATTATATGACCACACAATATATCTACCCTGAATTGTTAGGGCTACAATAATGAATATAGATAGTACTTGAAGCTTCATTTCATGGCGTAAATAAATAGGCCTATCCTGTTTCACATGGGCAGATGCGACTTAGGATTGCGATATTGCATCACTAGAGAAGAAAATGAACTCTTTCTTTCACCACAATCTACAAAAGCTGCCGCTAACTATATTTGCTTTCAATTGAACACATGTATATCTAACAGATTGTTTGTCAGACAGGGATAGATTATTTGTCGTTTTTACAGGCTTTTATTTAAGGGGCCACTCCACTGCAAAAACCAAACTAGCCCACAGCAGAGATAAGCAAGTAACAATATACTATTATTAATAGTTAGCAACTGTAAATAAAAATTCCACATTCTGAGGACCTAATTATGCATGGTTGCCATGGTAACGGCGGCCATCTTGAAAAAAACACATTTTTTACAAATCTAATGTTTCAATAATGTGAACAAATAATGATGGTTTTATTTCTGTTTATTTAACTAGAACCATTCTAGAGTGTACAGTAGCAGTTTGTTTTCATTAAAATGTAAAAGAATAATTTTTTTCAATTTTTATAAAAAATGTATCATTCAAAACAAGGCATACAAGTTATGAAATTTCTTAAAAATAAAAATGTACACAATGCACATCATTCTCACATGTATAGTTACACCATAACATGAATAATGAAAAAGTACACTAAGTTTCAAGACATTATCTCTGCAAACAGCTAAAACATTAGGGTTACAATAAGCAAAAATCTTGAAAAAAACAAGTTTTGAGAAAATTAACTTTTAAACATTTAAAGTGCCATAAAAAAAATTTATCAGCAATATCAGGAAGAAACTTTTAGTATTCAAAGTTCAACATAAGCAGTTGAAAAATAAACCATTGCCAACTATAGTTTGCACATTCTTCTGAAGTTTTACCACTTATAATCTTATAGTGGTTAAGTGTGCACAATTCGGCAGTTTACTTGCACTAAAAGTTAAACCTTTCTGATCAAGTATTGACATGTGTAGTTGCTATTGTCTTTTTCCCAGACTAACACAAGCTTGATATAGTACATTTTAGCATATTTGAACTATAGTTTAATACAAATTTGACAAATAATGTACTAATAATATTCACATACAACTTTAGCTTATGATGACATTCACAATTCTGCTCGAAGAGGGTGAGCTCAATAACTTGACATCATAAGTTATTTATAGTAGATGGGCACTTTGCTGCTGTATTGCTCTTAAGATCTAGTACAAACAGCATTTATCTTGCTAATAAAAACATAAGCAGCTTTAGTGTACTTACTTAGTCGTATCGCAGCAAAACTTTGCGCAACAGTTTGTAAAATGATGAGAGATTCATTGTTTTTATTTCAAATCCATTCACCAAGTAAACATCTGAATTTTGAGAAACTAACACCACATGGCTCTAATATTGACATCATGATGTAGGTGTATCTAAAGTCAGCTTCTTGTAAACCATGAGGTCAAATTTACATTTCATGACATAACATTTCCTTGCGGAAAGCCCCAAGTTTTATCCAGAATGCTTGCATAGTCCTAATTGTGGCATATCTTCTGGATATGTAGATGTCAGCGAGCAAATAATGTAAGGGACAGTTATATTTCTTGATTCTTGTTTGCAGTCAAAACTGATTTGGGTTCACACACAACCAGCTTTTTCTGCATTCATTGTAGGAATTGTTGGACTGTAAAATAAAAATAAAAGAACAACTTTTATTTAATTTTAAAAAGTTAATAATATACATAACTAGAATGACTAATATTAGCAGTAACTCATCCTATTGTAACAACCTAATAATGTCATAGTCAACAAAATTGTATTTTGAAAAACTAATCATAATGAATAGTCAATAGGGCTTATATTATTATACTGACCATAGATCAAAACACAAGGAATAAATCTAACCATAAATTTAGAAAACTGCTTATACTAAAATTTAACCAATATTTATATTTTAGTCAATACTCAGCAAACACAGATGTTAATTTCTAAATATACAACTACTATCAACTAGAATCTAGATCTAGACTATTCTAGACTAGATCTAGAAAATTCTAGATCTAGAATCTAGGTCTACTAGACTACTAGATTCGTGGGTCGTTATGACTGGGTTCTACAGTTTCATTTATTTAAAAATAGTAATTGACAAGCGTGTTTAACATTGGTAAAGAGTTAACTAAATTAATTCTTATAAAGGAATTAAGCTGTACTAGACAACATATTAGTAGATTTAGAAACTAATGTCAGCGCGTCAGTCAGTGAAGTCAGTGAAGTATCGCTGTGTGGTGGCATGGCGACTTCACTAGATCTAGATTTAGCGTCTAGATCTAGTTATTAAAAAAAAATTACCTTCAAATTTCTTTCGCTGAACAATGTACTCCTGTCATGGTATCTGTTATTTCGAGCAATAACTGCATTATTGAGACGTCATGTTGAAAACAAATGGTTTGTTATTGCAAAAATTGATGTGAAGACAATCACGTAGCCATGTTTGTTTGTTGACAAAAATCCGTCGAACTCGATCACTGCGCATGCGCAGAAAGGTCATTACTAAGGTACGGCTTGAGAATACAAATCGGACCAATGAAATCGCTTGATTTGCGAAATCTTTTATTGAAATATCACATTTGCAAGTAAAATAACTGTATTCGAATGTAGAGTATCGTTTACGGCTCAAACAGACGAAAAATAAAATACTTAAAAAAAACTTTTTAAAAAACCACGTTTTTCTTGTGGACTAAAAAGTAGAAAATAACTATTTACATACATTTGATGACAAAAAACGTGGGTACGTTCACCATCAAATTTCCCGACCCATCTGCCCGACCCACGTTTTTTGTCATCAAATGTATGTAAATAGTTATTTTCTACTTTTTAGTCCACAAGAAAAACGTGGTTTTTTAAAAAGTTTTTTTTAAGTATTTTATTTTCTCCTTTTTAGTCCGTTGCTACACATGAAAAACGTGGTTTTTAAAAAGTTTTTTATATAGTTTATTTTCTACTTTATCTAATCACTTGATTAAGTATGACTTGACTAAGTGTTTTTAAATACACGGACTAAAAAAATCTTGAGCGACCGATACGCTTTAAACAGAGAAAGGGTGTAATTTACGTTGCTGGCGTGGAGATCTACTCACGAATCACGTGATCAAATCTCCCATAAACAAACAAATAAACGCGAAGCTGAGTTAAAGAAAAACGTGTTTATGTGTATTTTAGCATGCCCAGCGTACCAACCGTGTCACCGTTAACAATGTGTTACTGTGTCCGTTCTCCTTTTTAGTCCGTTGCTACACATAAAAAACGTGGTTTTTTAAAAAGTTTTTTTTAAGTATTTTATTTTCTTCTTTTTAGTCCGTTGCTACACATGAAAAACGTGGTTTTTAAAAAAGTGTTTATAAATACACGGACTAAAAATCTTGAGCGACCAGGATTCGAACCTGGGTTGTCGCGGCCACAACGCGAAGTACTAACCACTATACGATCACGGCCAGCGCGCTCACATCGATTGGGGCCGAAGTAACTGCGTCAATAGGCCTCCAGTCTTGTCGGTATCTTTAGAAATCATGTCCTCAATTTTATGGTCCTTGGGGCGTAATTAAATTAAGCTAATTACGGTCACTAATTGCTAGTTTTTATGATTGCATCTGAAATTGTTAGGCGAAAGTAGCATGCATGCCAAATTTCAGGTCTCTAGAGCAATCAGAAGTGGGCTAATTTTCGATGTCAATTTTAACAACAAACATCCAAACAACCAAACAACCAAACAAACGCGAAGCTGAGTTAAGAAAAACGTTTTAAAATGATATATAATATACTATATTTTTCTTTTTAGTTGCTTTATAAAAATCAACTCAAAATTTCAGAAATTTGATTAAAAAGTTGACTTTTTAAGCAGAGGGTGGTGTCTTTAAAATTATAATTAAAATAGAAAAATGTATCGTACAAGTGTACTTGAAACTGTTTTCGATTCTAGGAATATGAAATTTATTAAAACATCTATTTCCTAAAAATATTTTTTTCCAAGTTTAATTAGCATTTTTTACATGTAGAGGCCTCGCTTCCTCTGTCGTCAGTCGTCAGTCTGTCGTCAGTCTAGGTCGAAACGCCAGAGCGAAAATTCGGACACTTCTACTTGACCGATACGGATCACAGTTGGCACGTGGGTCAAGACATGAAGACAATGCGATCTGAAATTAAATTTGACTTAATTGGATGCCTAATTAATTTTTATGAATTAATTAAAATTTGGACCGAATTAGTAGGCATATCTATCCAACCACGTTCAATAGGTGGGCAGTGGTTTTTAGTCATGAAACTCTATTGTAAAAGATTGTAAAGTACTAAAAACAAATTCATAAAAAACGTTTTAATAACAAGCTTTTATGTAATAATGCACTAAAAAGTAGAAAATAAATTATAAACTGCTATTTAAATAACTATAAAGAAAAGCGTGGTTCACTTTAGTATCTATTGGATACCTTTACTAATGTTTAGGAAGAGACCCACGCTTTCTTTATAGTTATTTAAATAGTAGTCTATAATTTATTTTCTACTTTTTAGTGCATTATCACATAAAAGCTTGTTATTAAAACGTTTTTTATGAAAAAATATTTTTTAATATTGTATAATGGAGATTCAGTTTCGTTGTCATCACGTCTTTAGTAGAAACGCCAAGTGTCCTACAAGAAACCCAAGTTGAACTCAGCAGCAACACAAAGATTTGCTGTCATAATACTTACGACCCGAGCACCATGTTATGCTCCCCAGCAGAGGAGCAAAACACTAGCAAGGGCGATAGCGGTGGACCTTTAGTTGCCTACATCAACGGTGAGTTTACATTTTTTTGCTCGAGAAAAACGTAAGTTTTTAAGGAATCCTAACATATAAAAAGCCCATGTGCGCACTTCTCTCTCTCTCTCTCTCTCTCTCTCTCTCTCTCTCTCTCTCTCTCTGTCCGCGTGTCCTTAGGCTATGTGATCAGTATCTTCAGAGATACACTGTGAACTAAGAGATTCGGACTTTTGTTGAAAATAATATGTTGGATGTTTTAATGTATAAATTAAATTTTATTTCAAGAAGGAAAATAAAAATAAAAGCATATATAAATGTACAAACACAAGTTTAATCATGCAACCGGGAAAAGTGTCTCCCTATATTAAACGGATAGTTAAATATAGGGAGAGCGATAGAGATCGGGACGAGGATAAGAATATGGATACGATAACGGATAAGGATAATAAAATTATAAGTATGATAAGCATGACTATAAGTATACGGGTAATGATGATGAGGACAAACATATGGATAAGGATGATAAAGATGATTCAAATAATAGTACTTATAAGGATAGGAATAAGGATAGGGATACTAATAGGTATTGGGATTGGAAAATGGATATGGATAAGGATAGTGGAAGGGATAGTTTTATGGATGGGGATAGAGGTACGGTTATGTTTATGTTTACGTTTATATTTATGGTTTAGATGATGGTTAGTTATGGTTATATGTATTTTCTCAAACGTCCATATTTGCATTTGACATTTAATTAAAAATGTATATATTTTCCGGGTAATTGCTGCTATTTTTTTAAAACTTAAAATCTCTCCTTTTATATAAATAAAAGTATGTGGGTTTGTTTGTGGAATTGTGGGTTTGTTTGTGGAATTGTGGGTTTGTTTGTGGAATTGTGGGTTTGTTTGTGGAATTGTGGGTTTGTTTGGGAATTGTGGGTTTGTTTGTGGAATTGTGGGTTTGTCCTTTATGCATTACTACACCTTTCCCCCTATCCATATGAAACTATGGGGAGTTGATGAGAATACTCCAAAATAGGTGTCTGTGAAAAACAATATTTCAATTTCGCATTTAAGTACTACTTTCGTTTATCAAAGGTCAATCAAAATTATAAAATAATCAAAGTATAAGATTGTATACTATTATAATACTATATATAAAAACATTACTCAAGTGATCGTGTACATACAGAAAAGGAGCGAAGTATCACCTTAGGCTAATAGTTGACTGAAAACTACAAACTAACTATAAACTGGATATAATACTTAATTTTTAAATTTCGTCGATCTAACTGAAGCGGCACTCAAGTTATTGTGTGTACACACAGACACACGCACACAGAAACACACACACACACACACACACACAGAGAAAGACACACACACACACACACTCACACAGGGACGGACAAGATAGGAAAAGTAATACTTTCTGGCGCCGCAGGTTGTAAAACGTCAAAATTTGTAAAAAAAATTCTCTATTTTTTATTTTTTTATTATTTTTTTTTGCACGAATGCAATACATCCCTTACATTCCGGATATGATACAGTAGGGAGTTGTAAAACATAAATGTTAATCATTCAGCACGATTACAATACTTTCTCTATTCTCTGTTTACGAGAAAGTAAAAATAGCTGATATATATTTCAGAGAATATTATCAAAATACTGTAAGTGCATTGATAGGAATGTGGTATTATGTTCTACTTCCAATTTTATTTTTAGGCGTTTACCAACTGTTTGGTGTAACGTCGTTTGGAAATTCGAGCTGTTCCAATCATCCGCATAGTTACCTCACTAAAGTTCAGGCCTACTTAGACTGGATTGATTCAACCATCCGCAACAACAGCAAGAATGATGAAGAGAAATTCCTACCGCCTCGCCCCTACGACTGATGTATCACGTGATGCTCAACAACATTCAAAGAACGAAAGCCACCATCGGCCCCATGTTAGGTTAAACAACTTTTGTTCATTTGTAAAAGTTAAGAACATTAGACCTATATTTACTGCAGGTTAATCAATTCTGAAAAATCAAATAAAAACTGTATTTCAAATTTTACAATACATACTATTAATTGATAACAAATTAATAAACAATAGCAAAGCAAGCGAAAAAATACTACTTTGTTTTGTATTTGTTAATTTTTACCTGATTACCTGTATATTTAGCCTGAAAAACAGGCTTGTTTTGATCCATCTCGAAGCACGACAAACAGAAGGACGACAACAGACAGACAGACAGACTTACTTACAGATTTCTGTGTTCTGTCAAAATTTGAGTTAATTTCCTTTGACCGGAAGTAGTAATTTACGCTATTTTCAATTTTTCAAAAAACGAAAATGAATTTACAAAGTACTAATAATATTTCGAACTATTATACACATATTGTTTGCCATTCTCTTGGTGCGCAATTCTTTTTTTTTCCTACGAGATTCTATGCTAATTTAAAAACGTTAAGAAATTAAAAATGGATTAAAAATCATGCCTATATCCCGCGTTGCCGTCACCCGTACTGTTATATAAGAACTAGCTGCATCCCGTGCTCCGCCACGGTAAATCATTTTTAAATGTACCAACTTTGGAACAGAACAAAACAAACAAAAACAACACAAACACAAAAAACACAACCACAAACACAACACAACCACAACACAACCACAACACAACCACAACACAAACACAACACAACACAACACAACCACAACACAACCACAACACAACCACAACACAACCACAACACAACCACAACACAAACACAACACAACACAACTACAACACAACCACAACAAAAACACAACCACAACAAAAACACAACCACAACACAACCAAAAAACAACCACAATACAACCACAACACAACCACAACACAACCAAAAAAAAAAAACAACACAACCACAACATTAGAATCACCACCAAACAACACGCTTTTTAGGCGTCCGCGCCCAAAGAGACCCTTTCCAACATTAAAAATTTAAGTCACATAAATAGATCCTACTCCATAACTTACAATAAAACAATGCGATGCAAATGAATGTACGGCAAGTGGTGTTTACTTTTATGGTTCTAAGAAAACACATTGGCAATGTAATTAGAATTACCACCGAAAATCACGCTTTTCCCAGGCGTCCGCGCCCAGAGAGAGTCTTTCCACCATTCTCTATATTATAATTATAAAATTTCACCATCTGTTAGCACCAAAAAACAAAAACAAAAAATAGTGATTTTGAGAAATCATAGACTAATTAGAAAATAATATAAATAATCTTAACATTTTTCTCTTTTAATTATGAACCTTAACATAGACTAATCAATGCGGTAGTAATAAAAAAAAAGATTAACTTAAATTATTGTTGAGTTAAATATATTTTCAAATTACCTCCCTTGAAACAATTACCACAAAAAAAAGTGGAATTAATTAGCTTTTTCGACCTACTTTTATGGAAATGTATCCATTTTTTCTAGGAATATAAACTAAGATGATATTTGACATTAATCTTTGTAATACGTTTTAGCAGTTTGCGTGTATTTAATATTTTCTTGACGTTATGCGAAAGAGTAAAAACCGTGGCAATTATAAAATAGCTCTATGCCGCTATATAAACAAACCCTACTCTAATACTTATAATAAGACACTGCGGTCCACTGAAAAGCACAGCGTGGTGCCCAGTTTACTTTTATAGTCCCAAAATCTATAGCGATGACGGACGGAAGGAAGGAAGGAAGGACACGCTCAGCCCGCTTATATTATAGACTAGCTGCATCCCGTGCTCCGCCACGGTAAATCTTTTTTAAATGTACC